CCCTTGGTGGTGACCAGTGTCCTACTGGTGGCTGGTGACAGTGACCAGTGTCCCTTGGTGGTGACCAGTGTCCCACTGGTGGCTGGTGACAATGGCTGGTGTCCTGCTGTGGTGGCCAGTGTCCCACTGGTGGCTGGTGACAGTGGCCAGTGTCCCACGCTGGTGGCTCACTGTGGTGGCAGTGTCTGGTCACAGTGGCCAGTGTCCCCTCCCATCCCAGTGCCCTGTCCCTGTCCCCGTCCCTGTTCCCATCCCTGCCCCGCTGTGACCCCATCTCCTTTTGTCCCTGTCCCCATTCCTGTGTCCTTGTCCCCATCCCTGTATCCCTGTCCCTGTGTCCCCGTCCCATCCCTGTGTCCCTGTCCCCGTGTCCCTGTCCCATCCCCTGTCCCTCTGTGTCCCTGTCCCTCTGTGTCCCCGTCCTATCCCTGTGTCCCTGTCTCATCCTCTGTACCGTGGTGTCCCTGTCCCTCTGTGTCCCTGTCCTATCCTTGTGTCCCTGTCCCCATGTCTCTGTCCCATCCCCGTCTCTCTGTGTCCCCATGTCCCAGTGTCCCTATATCTGTATGTCCTGCTGTCCCTGACTCTGGTGTCCCTGTGTCCCTGTGTCACCATGTCCCTGTGTCCCTCTACTCTGGTGTCCCTTTGTCCTGGTGTCCTGACCGCGCTGTCCCTGGCTCCGGTGTCCCAATATCCCTGTCCCCATTGTCCCCATATCCCTGACCCCACTGTCCCCATGTCCCCATGTGACCCTGCTGTCCCCATAGGGCTCTGAGGCTGTGAGGTTCCGTGTCCCCATGTCCCTGACCCTGCTGTCCCCACTGTCCCTATGTCTGTGTCCCCATGTCCCTGACTCCACTGTCCCCATGTTCCTATGTCCTTGTCCCCATGCCCATGACCCCACTGTCCCCATTGTCCCCCTGTTCCCTGTCCCTGTCCCCGTGTGACCGAGTGTCCCCTCAGGGCTCTGAAGGCCATCAGGACACATGTCCYCATTGTCCCCATGTCCCTGTCCCTGCTGTCCCCATGTCCCCATTGTCCCCATGCCCGTGTCCCCATGTCCCTGTCCCCATGCCCCTGACCCATTGTCCCCCTGTCCCCATGTCTCTGTCCCTGTCCCATGTCCCCCTGTCCCCGTGTGACCCTGTTGTCCCCTCAGGGCTCTGAAGGCCATCAGGACACATGTCCCCGTTGTCCCCATGTCCCTGTCCCTGCTGTCCCCATGTCCCCATTGTCCCCATACCCGTGTCCCCATGTCCCTGTCCCCATGCCCCTGACCCATTGTCCCCATGTCTCTGTCCCTGTCCCATGTCCCCCTGTCCCCGTGTGACCCTGCTGTCCCCTCAGGGCTCTGAAGGCCATCAGG